CTCTTACAAACGTGCTCACAATTCCTCTTCCGCGCAGGGTAGCCCAAGGAGCACTATTCCCTGGGAGGCAAAAAACAACATGATCCAACCCGCCCAGCAACAGCGGGAAAATTATCTCCGCCGCGACGACGACGATTACGACTACGACTACAATTGCGACTACGATTGCGACTACAAACGCGTCTACGATTACAATAGCGGCTACGCTCACGATTACAACCACGACTACAACCACGACTACAATCGCGACTACAACCAACACCCCTGATTGCCATTTCAACCCTCATGAGAGGATGCTCGCAAACCCTCTTGCGTGTATCTTAGCCCGAACAGATTACTCCCCCCCCCGATGAGGAGATCCCCACTATTGTCCAGCCAGCCAAATTATATAAGGTGAATGATGTCCACCGCGACGACGACGACGACGACGACAACGAAGACGAAAACGACGAAGACGACGATACGATAACGACCACGAGGAGAAGCAAGATGAGGCGGAGGAGGAGGAGCAGCATGAGTAGGAAGAGGAGGAAGATGAGGAGGAGGAGAAGGAGGAGGAGGAGGAGGAGGAGGAGGAGAAGGAGCAGGAGTAGGAGGAGAGAGGGAGGAGGAGGAGGAGGAGGAGGAGGAGGAGGCGGAGGAAGAGGAGGAGGAGGACCAGTGTAAACCCAACAGCCATCAACGATGTTGGAATGCACCCTCCCGCCACCCTCCCTCCAATCTCCCTCTTCACAGGCCCCTAGAACGGTTCATTTCCACTGAGGGAACTGCCTCGTTGGAAGACAACCGTTTGAAGACCCTGAAGCATGCCAAAACATTGTTTTCGGGATTCCAGCGCCACGGATCAGCCTGACTGTTGCGTTTTGACGATCCGGGATCGCACCAGAACACGGTTCTTGGGATTTCAACAAAGCGAATCAATCCGTAACCATTTTGGCTCAAGGCCATGGAGAACCCGACGACCGCGAGTCGTTCGCGGCGCTCTGAGCGCGAGGGTCTCTGCGCTTTGGGCCAGTGCACTTCGTGTTTCAGCTCCCTGCTTTCACGGCGCGGAGGCGCAGCCCCTCGGCCAGCGCGGCAGTGGCCATGGCGAGGTCCCCGCGCGGCGGTGGCAGCAGCAGGCGCAGCAAGTCCTACTGGATGTGCAGCTGCGGAGGATGGAACTGGGATTGGCGCGCCTCGTGCCTCGGCTGTGGGTATGCGGCCCCGCCTTGGGCGATGGGAACGCCCCCAGCCAAGGCGAGGCCCAAGGCAGACAAGGACGGCTGGGTGGATCAGCCACGTGGGCGCCGTGCCCAGAGGCAGGCCCGCGGCGCGGCCTCGCGGGCAGCCTCCACCAAGTCGCAGACCTCGGCGTCGGCGGCGAGTGGGACGCCCAGCGGTGGAGGCGCCACGGCGATCGAGAGGCTCCAGGCGGCAGTCGAGCAGCTCGAGGCACTGCAGGCCGAGCCGCCTGACGGAGTGGACGGCTGCTTCACCGACGTCGTGGCCAGCCAGCTGGAGGCGAAGCGCGCCGAGCTGGCCAGGGCCCAAAAGGCGGCAGCGGAGCAGAAGGCCTCCTCCCTGCCACGGGCGACGCGGCTCCACAGGGAGGCGAACGCCATCAGCAAGGGTGAGAAGCGGCTCCGGGCAGCCCGCCTGGAGCTCGAGCAGAAGCAGGAGGCGCGCAACCTCGTCGAGACCCAGCTCCAGAAGGCCCAGGAGGAGCTCGCGGAGCTCGACGCGGAGGTTGAGGAGGCGAGCCGTGCGCTCCAGGTTCTCGAGGAGGCAGCCCGCGAGGAGGCGGAGGCGCTGCGCTGCCAGCGCGCAGCCGAGTGGACAGGAGCCAGCCAGGTGCCAGGACTCCTCATGCAGCTGGAGAAGTTGCCAGAGGCTTGGGGCTCCAGCAACTTCGAGGTGGCTTGGGCAGCCATCCGCGCCCAGGTGGAGGCCGTGCGGGCGCAGCTCGAGGGGGCCCCAGTGGCCCCCAAGCGTGCGCCGTGGGCTGAGTCCTGCCCCATGGAGGAAATCAGCAGCGACGATGGCGATCTCGCTGACGGCGGCGGCCCCTGGCAGCCTCAGCCAGCCGCGGAGCGAGGCCAAGCCGAGCGGGGCGGCAAAGCGCTGGGCGAGTGGCCGACGGTGGCCCAGGCATGCAAGCGGGAGCTGGCTGCAGAGGCAGCGGACCTGGCTCCTCTGGCTTCTCGTCCTACTGGCAGGTCCGCTGGGAGCCGCGTCGGAGGAGTGCAGCCAGGGCCAGCGAGTGCCTAGCGAGACCTGTGCGGCGGGCCTGCGCCTGCATGAGTGCGGCCGCGCCGAGATCGTCGAGAGCGACTTGGTGGAGTTCCACGGCATAGGCGTCATCGACCCGCCCGGGTACCTAGAGCACGCTGCAGGGCCCAGCTGGGTCCTCTGCCTCCTGGCCGCTGTGGAGAACGTGGTCGGGGCCCTCGAGTTCGGCGCTAGCGAGTGGAGCGACCCCATGGGCAGAGCAGGCGCACCTGGGCTTCCCGAGACGTTGGCCAGGATTGCGGATCCGCAGCAGCCAGCCGAGCAGCCACTCAGGGCTCCTGCTCAGGGACGGGAGGCGGCAGCAGCCAGGTGCGCTATGGCCGCCACTGGGGTGCGCTGTGCTGTGCCCGTCGACGCGGTGGTGCGGACCCAGGGGAGCGTCGACTGGTGCCTCGAGTCGGAGTGGAGCATGGTCGCGGACCTCGGCGACGAGTTCGATCCCATGTTCCTCGAGCCTCGGGCGATGAGCTCAGTTGCAAGCTCGTGTGCTCTGCAGGCCTTCAACCGCCATGAGAGGCGGAACCTCTACTGCAGCCCCCTCTTGCTTCGGCTGTTGTTCGGGGACGCCATCGGGCAGCTGCTCGGGCCAGGAATCGAGCAGTACGTGAAGGCGCGGCACGCGCGAGGTGCCTCCTTTCCCAACGCACTCGGGACGAAGCGTATCTGGAGGCTTCGACGGCCAGTTGTTGTTGGCAGGCACATCGGCAAGCAGTACTTCGATGGCTCGGTCTTGAGCAGCGAAGGGCTCCCTCCTGCTGGCGGGATCGGCCAGGAGCAGGCCGCTGCGGCAGCGGAGCCCCCGCAGGCTGGTGAGGCCCTCGGCGGCGGCGCTCCAGCCACGCGGCAGCGTCTGGAGGACGGCCGCTCGACGGGGAGCAGCACGGCCGCCCTCTCGGCCACCGCTGTCGCCTTCAGCGTCCTGGGGCACGTGCTCAGCTATGCCTGCGCGGGCGAAGGTGGGGACACCCAGGAGATAGTGGCGTGCTCCAAGCGTGGCGCCTACAAGGTGCTGGGCAGCCACGCGGGAGGCAAGTCTCGTCTGAAGGTGCAGTGCCCAGGGCCCAGCTACCTGACCAACAAGTCAGGCAGGAACCAGCGCAGCCTGTGGGAGCGAGGGCTCCATCCTGGAGGCAGGCCTCGGGCGGACAAGCAGAGAGTGAGAGCAGAGGGCATCCCTGTCTTGCGCTCGCAAGGGGCAGTGCCAGGACACGCCCAGGAGCGCTACCTGGAGTGGCTCGGCATGGAGGCGGAGCCTGCAGGCGGAGCCTGCAGGCGGAGCCTCTGCCGCGGCCAGCAGTTCTGGCAGCGGCCCAGCGGCTCCAGCGGCAGCGCAGGCAGTTGAGGCGGCGGCTGCCAGCCTGCCCGAGCAGCGGCCAGGCCCGAGTGCTGGCGCCCTCGGGGCGAGTGAGGCCGCCGAGGAGGAGCGCACAGCCGCGGGCGCAGCGCCTAGCGGCGGCCCCATGTGCCGCAGGGTCCGCCGCCGCATGGCGCGCCGCGGCTCGGAGTCGGAGAGTGATTGAAGGAGGCCTTCCCGCCTGTCCGCCAGCGCCTGTTGCTCCCTTGCGCCATGCATCCTTCAAAAACGCCATGTCTGGTACGTTGCTCATGGAAAACCGTAAAATCTTGCAAATGTTATAAACGAATGTACGCGGCGCCAGAGCGAGAACCACATGTTGAAAAAGAACTCCCCTCAAACCGCAAAGCTTTTGCAAATGTTATAAACGAATGTGCGCGGCGCCAAGGCGAGAACCACAGTTTGAAAACGTGTTACCGTCAATCCGTAAATCTCTTGCAATTTTCTAGAATGAATGTGCGCGACGCTATGGCGACAGCCACATTTTGAAAACGGGTCGCCCTCAATCCGGGGAACTCTAGCATTTTTTAAAAACGCATGTGCGAGGCGCTATGGCGAGAGCCACATTTTGAAACCACCCGCCCTCCATCTGTGAAGCTGTTGCCAATCTTGTCAGCTTCAGAAGCATAAATGGCGAAAAAGTCTCAAGCGAAACGCCCGCCCCGCCCCCAAAAAACTCGCCACGGGGTGCGACAGGGAGATATTGTTTTTAAGGACAAGGAATGGGGGAGGAGGGGGAGAGGAGGACAAGGAAGAGGAGGACGAGGAGGAGGAGGAGGAGGAGGGGCGAGTTTGTTCCCTGCCGATAGAAAAAAAGGGGGAGTCTGCAAAACTGAAGGCCTCCTGGGGTTACTCCTATTTCTCCACTGTTTCGCCCCCCCCAACAAAAAGACGGACCCAAGAGGCACCTGAAGACGTCCCGAGAAGGTCTTTGCGTATCCATCTCTACTGCCTCGGTCCCCCCCCTGAGCCCTAGGTCACCGAAGAGCAAAAAAGACGCCCTCAAAAGGCAACCCCTTTTCTTCCTCGAACGAGAACCTGAAAGGGCCCCCCAGAAACAAAAATTAGAAGGAGAAACCAAACATAATATAATTTCCTGGAACTTTGTGCGGATTTCTTGGATCGGTTCCCTGGCGCGCGGGGCGCGCCAAGGACGGCGCCAGAGGCGCCGCCACGGGGGCCCAGCGCCGATCCAAGCAATTCGCGCGAAGCTCCGAAAATTTATGTGTATGCCGTTTTGCTGCTTCGGTACAAGGGATCTCCAGGATGTTTTGCATCGGCATGCAGGGCTGAAGCGCCATGTCACGCAACGCGTGCAGCGTTGATGCGCGGCCTCTCCCACTGCGCAGTGGCGGACGTGTGCCGGAGGCGTTGCTGGATTGTAGTCGGTGTACTTAATCCCCATGAAATTCGGGATCCTGCCGGACTCTTCGATCATGCCCAGCAGCTTGTTGACTTGCCCCGCCAGCACGCCTTGAGACGAAACTCGTGCCATGATGCGATTGGCTCAGGATACGCTCCAGGAGTTCCAGAGTATATGGCGCCGTTAGTTTGTGCAGCCCATGAGGAACGAAATCTAAAATAATCTGGGAAATCCTGCACATCTGGAACATCATGGAAATCCTGAAACGTATCATTATCATGACCTCTTGCTCCTCTGACGCCTGTGTCATCTGGAAAATGATAGAACCAGAACGGGAAATCAGGTGCGGCCGATGCGGTGTGCGCCAAGAAGTCGTGGAGCGTCTCGAGGGTCGGCTTGAAGTACACCGGCGACATGCACACGGCACCGTAGATGCCAGGCGTCTTGGAGGCATGTGCAGTAAGGTCCATAGACTCTGGGAGGCTTTCGCTGCCAACGTGCATGTAGATCTTCAGGCCTGTGGCTTGACCTGCTTTGCCCCAAGCTTCGGCAAGTGCCTTGCGTTCAGGCACGGTCAGTGACAGGGACTCGCCGTTGGAGCCTGCGGGCATTACGTTAGTTATGTTTTTGCTCTTCAAGAACTTGGCGTAGGGCATGATCCGGTCGAGGTCCAGCTCAAGACTGCCCGGCCCCTTCATTGGCGTGTACACCGCAGCCATTAGGGACGTGATCTTGTGCTCGTTGATTTCAAAAGCCATGGCGCCGACGGTTGCCAGCGGCACAAGAAGGCGGACGGCAAGCATGGCTAAGTCTCTACCGCGGTATGAACAAGTTGACGCGGGCAGGATTCTTTAACCAAAATTTCTATAGATGAGCCATGATGAACCATTCGGTGCGGACTTGTCTGAAGCTTTGCGAATCCTAGGTTTGTCGACCGCTATTGGGGATGGGTCCTGACAAACCACGGGGCCTCTGCAGATCCTAGAATAGCAATGCCACACTCGCCGCACTTCATCCTCGTCCTCTTCTGCCCTCCCCACTCTTCCCCATCCCTCATTCAACTGCGTTCCCCTTCGTCCTCAAGGTGCTGCTCCTCCTTCTCCTCCTGCTCATCCTCATTATTGCTTCCAGCCTCACGCTCCGATTTCTTCCTCAACTACGGACAATGCGTCGAACACACGTCCTACCTGCCCACTACCCGCTGTGTCCTCAGTCCACCAAGATTGTCGTGAATAGTACATCGAGGGACCACTCCACGATCCGACTTAGTCTTTCCAATGCGAGCACGCAGGTGCAACTCGCTCGGGCCAATCGCCTCCCCCCCCAAAGCGAAACCGTGCTTTCGGGCAGACGCTGGCCGCGCTCCCCTCCCTCTCGTCCCTCCTTCGTCCTTCTTCCGCACTCGTCCTCTCTCCTCGTCGTCGCTGTCGTCCTCTCCTCCTCCTCCTCCTCCTCCTCCTCTCGCTGGCGCGCGTGGCCAATCCAGAACTTCATGATTCCTCCTTTCGTTGGCTGCAGACCCGCAAAGCCGACAAAAAAAACGCCCTGCAGGCCGCTTGCTGACGACGACCACGGCAGCAGTCCGTCGCCTATGTCGGCGTCAACGACCACGCCGTCCTTCTCCAGGAAACGCATCTTGGCCTCTTCCCGTCTCCTGGTGCCGCGCGGGGCGGCTCAGGCCACGGATATTGTCCGCCCCCCTCCCCCCAAAAGATCATAGACGGGCGGGGTGGGCAGGCTCTGGTGGACACGTAGTGCAAGGCTCACCAAAGACCTCGATCCTCGATGTCCGCCTTCTCGTTCTCCTCATCCCTTTCCCCAGGGGAAGGAGGTGGCGCGGGGCCTCTGGAGGCAGGCGAGCGGCGGAGGAGAGGCGCAACTCAAAGAGGAGGGGTAAACAGTTTTGTTCGTGTCCGCGTGACGTGGGCCCAGGCATCCGCCCGTGACGCCGACCTCTGCGGCCCTGGAGCCCCCGAGACCACCAAGATGGCGATAGTTTCGCACCCTGGCCCCTCTTCGGAGTGCTGAAGCCAGATGGCCACGCATCCGGACGAACGCTTGGCCTGGATAGCGAGGACACTCGTGGTTCCTGCCAGGGTTCGCCGTGGGAGCGTCATCTCAGCCAGCCCATACGACACCGTCGGCGTCGCCGCAGGTTGGACTCAACAGCCTTGGAGGAAGAGGACAAGGAGGAGCAGGAGGAGGAGGAGGAGGAGTGAACATAAGAATTCGAAATGAACACAGACCTACGCGACCGAGGAAGCTCACATGCTTGCAATCATTCAGGTGAGCTGACGCGACACATGTGCGAATGATGCTGGTGACCGCTGCCCCGGTGATGCCGTCGGTGACGCCTGTCAGGGTGTCGAGAACATGCCTCACGTGCCACGCCCTGCGACCTTGGCGTGGAAAGAGACCGCGCTCAGGGATCACTCACGGCGCACCCCCTTTGGTGTCGAGGAATTGCCACACGTTCCACGTCCTGCGACCTTGGCGTGGCAAGAGAAAGAGAGAGAGACAGAGAAACAGAGAGAGAGAGAGAGACAGAAAGAGAGAACACGCGAAAGAGAGAGAGAGGGAGAGAGAGAGAGAGAACCAAATAGAACCAAATAAATAAAACAATAGTAGAGGGGGACGCGCGCCGCGAGCGCGCGCCGGGCCCTCGAAAGGAACCCGCGGCCCCGACCGACAAGGCGCCCGCGCGCCTTGCCCCATCAGGGCCGCAGCCGAAGCGAGCCGCCCAGCCGCCGCCCACGCCCAGCCGGGGCGCCGTTGCCGTGGCCACCCTGGCCGGCCACGACCCGCCCGAAGGCGGCGTCGCCGAGCGCGCCCAGCTCGGCCTCGAGCGCGCGACGGACGGCGACGGGCTCGCAACTTCTCGAGGGCCCCTCCGGAGGTGGAGCGTGCAAAAATCAACTCATGTCTCGACCCAGACCCAATCTTCCACCACCATCTCTGGTGGAAGCGAAGGAGCGAAGGGCGATGGAGGAGAGGAGGAGGGCAATCAGCCCACTGGAGGCAAGCATCTTCCGAAAGCGCAATTGCTGGCGTCAGCGAGACGACCGTTGGCAAACCAGTTCGCGAGACAATGGGATCACTGAAGGTGGCATTTTTTGAAGGCAGCATTTGTCTTAAAGGCGAGCACCGTTCAAGGTATACATGTTTTGTCACAGGTTGTCGGAGGACATGCTTTGCCACAACATGTTCGCCTTCAGGAGAAGCATGCCTTTGTGAATATGTTCGCCTCCAGCGAGCTCGTGGCCGCAAAGCAATGCTGCCTTGAGAGAAGGGAAAAGGGGCCGGCGGAACGGCGTCCTCCTCTCCCTGGCCTTGCCCCACAGCAAGTGCGGCTCCATGTCCACCAAGTCTCCCTCCTTCACGCTCTCCGTGAGGAAGTCCGCCGCGACGCCTGGCACCTTCAGCTCCTGCAGCGTTGGTGGGTGGGGCTAACTCTACTGCCCACTGAAGGCACGTTTCATTAAATGCAGCCAATTTAGAAGGCCGACTGTGTTTGAAGGTCTTCAGAGAAACTCCCTCAGCGCAGCAACCAGGATGACTACGACGATCGCACCGCCCGCGAGCCCTGCGGGCATCGCCATGCCGATGCTGCCCCGCGGCGTCCCACGGAAGGAGGAGGATGAGGAGGATGAGGAGGAGGAGGAGGAGGAGCAGGAGCAGGAGGAGGAGGAGGAGGAGGAGGAGGAGGAGGAGGAGGAGGAGGAGGAGGGAGGAGTGCCAGGCGACATGAAGTCGGCGGTGCATCGCCGAGAGCTCGTCGACGGGGCCCCCGCTGGCGAAGCCGCGCGCTCTCCGCGGCGGGGGCGGGCCTGTCGAGCCACAGTCGTAGGATTGCACGGGCGATCGGGGGTCGATGCGTCCCCCCTTGTGCCCCGGAGGGGCCGGGGGGCGGGGGGGGCTCCGTCCCACTGAGCCCACGGCGCCCGCGGCCTGCACGACGACGGGCGGGGCCGGAGGGGAGCAGGGGAGGATCGCCTCGCAGATGCCAAGATCCTTCGAAAAGGAAAAAAAAGCGTTTCGCGGGCAGGTTCGGCGCGCTGGGCGGGGGGATGCTTTGGACAGCTTCACGCCAATGGCACCCTTCAACGTTGGACTGCGTGCCTCATCGTCTCAGGCGCCTGGCGCACGTCAGTGCGCGGTTCGAAATCATGCCTGGTCACAGGGACAACTGCCGATTCGCCTCTTGGGCTTTCACGAGGCCCACAACGGCCGAAGAAGCCTTCAAGATCGACCCAAGATAGCCCAAGAGGCCAGCAAGAGGGCTCCAAGACGGCCCAAGAGGGCCTCAAGACGACCCCAGAAGCCTCCAAAACGGCCCAGGAGGACCCCAGGACGGCCCCAAGAGGAGGCCCAAAGGGGAACCCGAATGGACATGTCGAGCCCTCGGCCCCAAGAAAACCTGAGGAGGCGCCAAGAGGCCCCCAAGAGGCTCCCACGAGGCCCCCGAGAGGCCCAAAAGAAGCCCCTGGAGGCCTCAGCACGGACAGCCCAGAGAAGCCCAAGAGCAGAGCCGCGATCCGCCAACCGCCCCCGACGAAATCCCAAGAAGCTGAAACCGCAAAATTCCACAGAAATCGCACGCGTTCGGCAAACTCCGCTTTTCACTCTTACTGCCGCCCCAAGGGGTCGGCGGTGCGGCGTCAGCCGATGAATCATACCTGGCCGTAGGGACAACTGCCGACGATTTGCCAAAGAAAACCAGTACACAGACCCGCAGGTTTCAGGTGATATCACGAGCGCCACTGCGGGCCCCACTGGTGGGAACAAGCGAGTGCCGATACCGCTACACCTCCGACCTCTCCATGGCTGCGCTCTGACCAGGATCTCGAAGCGAATCCAGCCGTGGCGACGAGGGAAGGGCAGCGGGATCGGCATCTTCCCCTGCTCTGAGCCGCTGCCCAAACCTCCGACGACTCGATTGTCTCTAGCCGCCAGCCCCCGGAGCTCTCGACCCCTGCGCAAGGGGGTTCGACCATGTTCGTTGTTTGACGTCTCTGTAGCCCGGGACTGGCAGCGGGAACGGCATTGGTTTCTAGCCGCCCATTCGTAGTAAGCGGTGTTGTAAAGACTTGCCACAAACTCAAACTCAAACAATTGTGTCGATGCGCTATGTAGGCGGCTGGCTTCTGCCTGTCGCGGCCCAGAAACGGCCCCCGGACACCGAACATAACACAACAACAACAACAACAACAACAACAACAACAACAACAACAACAACAACAACAACAACAACAACAGCAACAGCAGCAACAACAACAACAACAACAACAGCATCGACAATGACAATCATGTTAAGACTGATCGTTCTTATTGGAGCGCGTGACATGTAAGGTGAATATCCCAAACCGTTTATACTCGCCCGATCGTGTTCGATCGTACCCCCCTTAGGGGTTGAGATCGTTCTTACCTGCCACGTGTAGCCGGCGCAACCCATAAAACAGGGGAAGGAAGGGATGAGGGAAGAGGCAGGGGGGAGGGAGGATAATGGAGCAAGAGAGAGATTTGCAGGAGGGGGGTTTGGGAGCAGGAGCACAGGCGGCAAAATCAGACCAGCGGGACGGGCGGGCAGACCCAAACGGGCAGGGGCTGGCCCAGACGATCGGGTCGAGCGGGCGGGTCGCTGGAGCGTCAATCCAACATGAATCGCAAGGAAGTGTCGAACGATAGCGTGATTCCCAAGTGAACCGTGAGGGAGTCCAGAGCGAGAGCGTGATTCCCGAGTGCTGGGGGCACGGCTTCGCAGTGCGATTGCGAGGAAGTACCACGCGAGAGCGCGATTCCTGGACAAGCTGCGAGGAGGTCCAGAGCGAGAGCACGATCTTGAACGAAACCGCAAAGACAAATCAAGCGGCAGCCGCTGCTGCTGCTCTGGGCCAGGGGGCCAGCCCGAGGCCTAAGACCCTCCGCTGTGACAGTCACCGTGCGAGCCGCGCGAGGACCACTTCGATTGACAAACGGAAAAGGCATCGAAGGGGGAGGATCAAACTTTGGACGCCCGAAATGGGTACGGAAAGACTCGCCATCGCTCGGACGTCCATTTCCCGTGCATGTTTCGATTTCGTCCGTGTATTTTTGGCTCGATGGTCCAGGATGGTCCTCGATGGTTCTCGCCGAGAAAAAATGCGCATGTCCGGGCGATGCCAAGAAGAATGGGTACAATGCCCATCAACAAATGCTGTCCCAGACCAGCAGCGGCCGCTGTTGGACAGGCGGCCTTCTGTCTCGAGTGGACACCGGCCGCGGCGGCGTGGACAGCGAATCCTGTTCAAACTGAACAGGAACTGCTGTTGGGCATTGTATCCATTCTTTCCGTACCCATTTCGGGCGTCCAGATAGGCGTTTCATGTGTTCAATCGTAGAGGTCTAGGAACCAGAAGCTCCACACGTACTGTGCCGAAGGACCCTTCAAGAACTCCCGGTATATGCAGCGCAGCGCGTCAGTGCTCAGCCAATTCAAGACTTGGTGTGGACCATCGTTCGCCACGAGCCAGATGCAGCGCCACGGTGCCAAAGCACGTGTTTTAACGGCGCTAGATGCAACTTAGGAGCTGGCCCCGAGTTCAAGGCCTGACCCTGTGCTGGCTAGAACGAAAAACTAAAGAGAGGCAGCAGCGAAGCAGCACAATAGCTGCGTGCCACAACAAAAGCTGACAGCGAATGGTGTTACTATGAATTTGAAAGATGGGGACCAACAATAATTAACCCCAGGAAGCATTTAAGAAACCCCCAGGCGATATCTTAGCACCGCATTTTTATTCGATATTCCGAGGGGCCGAAATAACCGCACGATAGGTTTAGCACCCGGACACACAACAAATTCGCGGAGGCCTGGCCCCTGGGCTACAATCGAAATTCGAAATTCAAATCTGCGTGGCTCTCATGAAAGACTCAGGATGTCGCTTGCTGCTTGGAAAATTCATGCAATGATAATAGTATTAATATTCGCAAGCATATTTGATGACTCCTAACGACTTGAATGGAGGAGGAGGAGGAGGAGGGCTCCTGGTGCCAGGTAACGCTTCCAGGGTGCGGAAGGGTTATCGATTTGCCGGAAGGGGGGGGGGGTCTTAAATGCTTCCTGGGGTTATTTCCAGGGGTGGGAATCCAACCGAACCAAACTCGAGCGCGATAGTTTGTGCTAGGAGACCGTGTGAGCAGCCGAGTTGGCCTCAAAAGCAATGCTGGGGAGTCATCCGAAACCTGAGCCCTCCCCCCCTTCCCTCGAGCAAAAATGGCAAATCTCCCCTCGAAGCCACCGACACCCATGTCTATGATTTCCCCAGCATCGACGAGAACGACTGCGGCGCGACGATTGTGACGGCCGACGAAGACGACCGAGAAAGACGGCGATGCAGGTGACTTCAGCGACGACTCGAGCTCGAGCTCGACGACTATCACCGACGACAACGACCTCCACCACCACCACGACGACCACGACGTCCACGACGTCGACGACGACCACTGCGACGACGTCCGTGAAGACCGACGGCAACGACACGGGCGGGACATAAAGGCCTCATTCAAGCGAGCGGGCGGGCGGGCGGACCTTGTCGGACGAGTCGGGCAGGCGAGACACTAAGCGGAGGGCAGGGATCTCTTGCAACCGAGCGGGCGGAACGTCCCGGGCGAGTCGCGCGGGCGGGACCCAGCGGGCGGGTGGGATGGGTGGGACATGCAAGGAGGAGAGGGAGGAGGAGGAGGAGGAGGAGGAGGAGGAGGAGGAGGAGGAGGAGGAGGAGGAGGAGGAGGAGGAGGAGGAGGACGAAGAGGAGGAGGAGGAGGAGGAGGAGGAGGAGGAGGAGGAGGAGGAGGCGGGCGGGTTTTCATGCAGGCGAGCCCGCGGACCCTAACAGGCGGGTCGGTGCGGGCGAACCCTGAGAGTGGGGGCAGAATAGATCGCGTTGGATACCCTTGGGCCCCTCTCGAGGTCCTCTGAGGGCATCATTGGGGCAGCCTTGGGGAGGAGCTCCAGCATGCCCTAAGTAGGCGCAGGTGCCGATCAGGGTCTCCGTTTGACCCCTCTTGGGTGTCCCCAGAGGGTCCCCAACGGAACCTACCAAGAGACCTTTTTACGGAATGTCTGTTTCGGTGGGGTCCTCTTGGGTCCCTCTTGGGCCAATTTCACTCCGACCGTCTCTATGTGGGAATTGTCAAATCACTCTCGAGCCTTGAGTTCTCCGAATGGGCTGAGCGGTAGCCTCTCGCGCGCCCTCTTGGCATCCCCTACGGGCACGTCGGGCCCCTTCCTGGGCTGCCTCGGGGCCTCCGCAGGCTTTATGCACCGTTCTGGGGGGCACCTCACGCCGCCAAGGGGGACGACGTCAGGGCGCCTCCTGAGTCCTCGAGTCCTCTGGTGCCCCCCCCCCCCCCCCGAAGCCGCCGAGGGCTGCCCCGCGGCGAGGCCAGC